ACATTTCCTTCAGCCTCATCTTCAAAATGAACCCTGATGGTCTTTCTCCAGAAAGAAAGAATATAAACCTGAGAATAAGAACATTCAGAGCAACACCAAAATATTAACCTGTGTGGTTGCTAGCTACTTATTCTGCCAAAGAACCTATTATTGACACACATTTTTACAGAGGCAACAGAGCTAAAGACTGAAAAATACTAACTTAAATATAAGCAGAGGAAAACCAAATGACAAAGGCTTTAGGGTGTAAATTATGAGTACTGTTACTGTACTTCTCTTTCCATTTTTCTTGCTCCAGAAGATTACAGGCAGTCTTTCCTTAATGCCCTGTAATAGGAACACGTGAACAGAGTCCAAGGTAACAATTTAAGTGGAATGTTGTCTGAAACCTAGGCATAACCTGCTCCACTCCTTTAGAAGGTGGAGCAGGCACTCCATTACCTGGACACGAAACTCAGTTGCTCACATTCAAGCATCAGGACAGAGAGATATGCCTCTGTTAGGAAAATAGTTGTGTTGGTTTTGGCTGGAATAGAGTTAATTTTTTTCTTAGTAGCTGTGGTTTGTATTCAGTATGAGAATAATGTTGACAACAGGGTGATGTTTTGGTTGTTGCCAAGCAGTGCTCACCCTGAGTCAAGGACTTCTCATTATCTTAGGTGCACAAGAAGCTAAGAGGGGAAGCATGGCCAGGAGAGATGACTTGAACTAGCCAAAGGGATATTCCGTATTTTAAACTCAGGGGAATTGGCTGGGAGCTGCCAATTGCTGCTTGATGATGGGCTGGGCATTGGTCAGCAGGTGGTGAGCAATTGAATTGAGCATCAGTTTTTTTTATTTATCCTTTTCCTTTTTCCTATTATTAAACTGTCCTTGTCTCAGCCTATGGGTTTTACATTTTTCCAGTTCTCCTCTCCATCCCACTGGTATGGAAGGTCTAGTGAAGAAGCAGCTGTGTGGTACATAGTTGCCAACTGGACCTAAACCATAGCAGCAATATTAAAGAAACTTCAGAGGCCTTCCTTCCATGACCTAACCTTGTTGGTCCTTCCCTGTGTTCAGATCCACTGACAGTTAGGAAAATACCTCTACACAATCTGGAAAAGATAGTCCATTAGTCCATGCTCAGCTCGTTTTTTTCAAGTCTGCACTGCTAAATGTCTTCTCTTTGGACAGCATTACGAACACAAGATTACCTGTGCAAATTTCTTCAGAAGGACTTTCAAAGCCAACTTCTACATAATTTAATCTGTTTGAAGTCATGTCCTGAGTGGTTACTGAATGTAAATCCCCAAATCTCTCCATTTCCTGTCCAAAAGCAGAAGATTATCAGCTCCCAAAATTAAGTTGTTGTTTAGCTCACTAGTATGATCTGAAATTAGGGCACCTAGCAATAATACTCTGCGTGATATACGATGATATATTTTGACTCGCAATGTTCTCAGTACATTAGAAAACATAGCCTTAGCATACTGTGCTAAGCACTTTAATTACTGACTGGGTTTAATACAGCTTAATGAAGCCTTCTCAGCAAACCCTACTTGAATTTCCTTGATTGAAGCAAGATGTGATGCTGTTGCAGTAGAACCTAAACAGTTCTTTACCCATCAGGATCCTCTCCATACACTCTGTAGAACAGCAAAAGCAGAACACTTTTTTTTCTCCCCAGTGAGATTCTGTAAGACAGTATTTTGACAAAGCTAGCAGAGGAGAGGAGATAGGCCACCCAGAAGGAGGCAGAGGCGGCATTAATCTGACAGGTCTTAAAATATTAGTTCTTTATCTGAAGACAGATATTTCTCATTTCTGCTAGATTTTACCCAGGATCCCTTTCCCCCCTTCCTTCCATAGTTTTGTCATGCCTTTCCCTTAAAGCTGATCGTTCCTTTTCCAGAATGGACAGCCTCTAAATTGTGGCATATGAACTGTAACAACAAAATTACAACATAGACTACAAAACTGGCTGAAACCCCCACTGAAACCAACCTAAGGGGATGTAAAAATGATCACAGAGCAATCACTCAGTTAAAAAACAACAAAGGGTAACAATACCACAGCCCCAATACAGCTGCTGCTCCAGCCTGTCACATGATGGATGGGGAGATTACATTGTAAGGGTGTATTTGCCCAGGGATTTCTTTTTCCATGGTCCCTCTTATCAGGCACTTGGCTGGAGCTATCAGGTATCATAATTGATTGGTGCCAATAAAATCTATCTAATGGAAATGAGAACCCAGTGGGAAAAATTTCTTTAACACCTAGGGTTTAAGGAAATTAGGTTTGGGGATCTTTTTGCTCCTCTAATCCTGTGTCTATTGTAGCATAACTCCAAAATGGAAGAGCTACAATCTAATTGCCTTTTCTTGCAGTCAGATCTCTCTTTCCCTACTAACCAGCAAGCTGGCTGGTTCTGTGAGCATGTATGGCGATCAGATCTGATAGCAGCATTTTATTGAGATCTGAGCCACAGCTAGTTATAGCTATCAAATACATAATATTTTTTAATTGGATTATAACAAGTCATTCAGTCAGGAATATGAAGGAATACTGAGGGTTTTGCTTTCCTCATGATGTTAGTGGTTACACACAATCTGCACAGGCTTTAGTTTTCTGAAATCTAGTCTCTATTTACTGGCTATATTTTTAAGACATAACACTTATCTTTTCATATAATTTCAACTACAGATGAGGCCTCAATAACAGTGGCTGTTCATATGTTATCACAAATTATACTCCTAATCTGTTCAGCTAAATTTCAACCACGTTTTATTCCAAGCTATGTTTACTTCAAAACACGCTGTGGCAGAGGATTGCTGCCTTTGGTTTGCAATGTGTTGAGCATATTGTATAAGTCTATTTGGTGACAGGTAATTCAAACATAGACTGCCAAGTGAGAACCACGTATTTCTCTTTCTACTTGCATGAAAAACAACAGTAATAAGTAAAAACAGTTACCTCCCTGAAAGCCTGAGGTGATCTTTAGTGCAATAACTGCAAAAAGCACAACAAAAGAAACCAAACATAGATAATCAAAATAAACCAACATGAGTAAAGAGCATAAAATTGCATAAAGTATTTATTTAGATAGATTGTATTTACAAAGTATTTACAAAGATTGTATTTACAAAGTTAGAATAAGAAAAAATGATTAGACAAAAAAAAAGGATCTTGCATCTTGCAAGGTACTCCTCACACCTCCAGAAATTCCTCTTCCCATTAATCAGAGCTGATACTGAAAAGGACATTTTATTGTGAATTCTGGGTTTGTGGGACAAAGATTAAGCAATTCACCCCAGCTATCATTTACCATAATGTCTTTTTAAATAATAAATTCTTAGTTTGTTTCCAGCAGTGTTCTAATTCCAGGTTGAACAGCCCAGCATCACCTTGCTGCAGCTACTCTGCGCGGATATCCCCAAAGATGCTGGGCTGAAGTGGAGTGGGCAAGGCGGGGTAGAGCAAGTGACCTTTATCTTGAGATTTCCTGGAGCTATATTTTCACCTTTCTTCCTCTGTTTCCCTGCTATACCCATTTCTTGTTAAAAGAGGTGGATCTAGCCTGCAGCACTGAACTGCAGACAAACCTTATGACATATGTAAGCATTTGACAATCCCTGGGCTTCAATAACATTGGAAACTGTGCTTCCCAAAGGAATGGATGGTTTCCTACAGCAGCTGGGTGATTGATTTTCTGGTGTATTTTCACAATGACAGCAATCATGCCCAGATCCCTTCTCCGTGGTGACCAGTGGCAAGACCCAAGGGAATGACCTGAAGCTATCGGACGGTTTCAGTTGGATATAAGAAAAAGGTTCTTTATCCAGAGTGTGGGATTTGGGCACTGGAACAGGCTCTCCAGGGAAGTGGTCACAGCACCAAACCTGACAGGGCTCAAGAAACATTTGAACAATGCTCTTGAGCACATTGTGAGACTCTTGTACAGGGGTGTCCTGTGCAGGGAATTGGGGCTGGGAATTGGGACTCGATGGTCCTTGAGGGTCCCTTCCAACTCTGCAATTCTGTGATTTTCAGGTGCGAATCCCTGCAAAGATAAGGACTATGCTATGACAAGACACAAGTGGAATCCGGGCGAACGACAGCTAACCGGTCCCTCTGCTCGTCCCGACGGCTGCACTACAACTTGGGGGTGCTGACGGTCAAAGACAAGAGCCTTATCTATGGGCCGCTCCTGCTGCCTCCGCCGGGGCTCTGCCCCCCTTGCCGCCGGCTCCCCGAGCGGGGGGGCCGGGTGGCAGTGCCGCCGCATCCCGCGCTCCGTGAGGGAGCAGGAGGTCGAGCCGGGCCGAGCCGGGCCAGGCCGGGCCGGGCCGGGCCGGGCCGGGCCGGGCCGAACCGAGCCCGCCCCTGCAGCCAGTCCCGCCGCATCCTGCGCTCCGTGAGGGAGCGGGAGGCCGGGCCGGGCCCGCCCCTGCCGCCAGTCCCGCCCCTGCCGCCAGTCCCGCCGCATCCTGCGCTCCGTGAGGGAGCGGGAGGCCGGGTCGGGCCCGCCCCTGCCGCCGGGCCCCGCCCCGCCCGTCCCCGCGGCCTGCGGCGCTGCCCGGTGCGGCGGGGCCGTCTGTGCGGGCCGGAGCGGCGCGCTGGGTGAGCTCGCTGACCCTCGCCCGGAGCGAGGGCAGAGGGGAACGCGGCGGGGAACGGGCCGGGAGGGATGCGGGGCGTGCTGCTGCCAGAGGGGCGGCGGGGCCGCCAGTGCGGCCCGGGTCGTCTCGGCCCTCCCTTTCTTCCTTTCCCTTCCCTCCCTTTTCCCCAGTTCCTCCGGTGTCGGAGCCGCCGCTTTCTCCGGGGAGGGCGCGGGTTTGTCCCCCTCGGTTCGCAGCCCGCTGCCCTGCTGGGGCGAGGGGGGGCAGGGAGAGGAAGAGGAGGAAGGAGGAGGAAGGCGATCACGTGCGGGAGGCGGGCTGAGCGGGGCGGGGGGCCGTTTCTGGGGAGGGGATCCCTGTGCGGGAAGGGGATCCCTGTCCCGGAAGGGGGTGCGTGCGGCGCTCGGGGATGCTCTGCGGGCAGGGCCGCCTCTCCCGCGTGCCCAGCGCCTCTCCTGCCGGCGGACCCGCAGCAGGTTTGCTTTCCCTCTCTCCTTGCGATTCCAGCCCAGCAGTTCCATCCTCAGGGAGGTACGGCGACCTGTTTGTCCTGCTGGTAACGCTGCGAGCGAGCCGGGCCCTGCGACCGCCCGGCTTGCATCGCGGAAAATGTCGTGCTGAGGGTTAATTCTGGTTAATTTAGGCAGGTTCGGAGAGGCACTGCCTGCGTTCAGCATCCGAATTTAAAGTGGGTCATACAGTGCTGAAGTGCAGCGTTTGTAATCCGTGTCGAGGGTGACGCGTCTGCAGAGAGAGCGGGTTAAAGCCGCAGCCTTGGAGCAGCAGCTCAAGTTACTCATTGATGGAGCGCTGACACTCGGCAGCTCCCAATTCACTGTGGTCAGGTGGCAGCAGACACAGTGGTCGGCTTTAACCTGGGAAATATTCGCCACAAATACTAAACTTGCTTGAAGAGGTTGTTTGTTTTTAAATTGTCTTAGTCCGCTTGAAGGACCATCACTGTGTTTTAAAGACCATCACTGTGTTTTTGCACGACGTTGTCAATACTTTTTACTGTGCAAATTTGTCATCTTGGTTTATATAATATCTGCGTATTATATATATTGTGTTGAATATTAATTGCTATGAAAATTGTCATTTTGTGCTGGAAATCGCAGTGTTTTGGGGTATTGTTAGTGAATTCAGCATTGTAAGAAGATTCATTTCTATTTATAAGTCTGTAGTGGTGCTACTATTTTTAGTAGATGTTTTTCATCAGCTTTGCAGTTTTAAGTAGGCCAGATGCAGAGTGATTTGGGTTTTGTTTGTTTGTTGATGGTGTTCAGCACCAGTTACTTTGCAAAAAACGCACCCATGATCCTCTTGTTGTGGCACAAATCCATAATTTTAAGTATTTTTTTGTTATTCATGTGTTAGACCTTTTCAGGATGAATGTTGCTTTCTATAGACTTGGCATGTTGAGAAAGATATATGTGACCTTTTAACAATGCTGGAATTGATGAAATACTAAGCTCAGTTGGATTAGGCATTTGTTTTGGTGCATTTGGCCTTAAATGTGGTTGTCTTGATGTAATGTGGTCTAATTTTCATAAATTCTCAAGCCATGATTTTTTCAAAATGAGTTTAGCACAATTGTTCTAGGCCTTCATTCATGAGAAGGAATGTATTTGGACTTTACCATTTTAAACTTTGTCAGAGCATCCTAGCTAAACATACAGTTATTAAAATATATTTGTTGAAATGTTTTACAGTTATCTAGTTTCTAATAAGCACAACTAAAGGATTTCACTCAGTGAATTAAGTCAGCATGAACAATATTACCAGTGATTTTGCAGAAGGTATTGATGACATGATAATAGTAAATCACACTTGTGATCGAAATCACAGCAGGGACTGTGATTTCTCATCCAGCAACTCAGATGAGTCATTTTGAAGGATCACAGATTTGTTGCTTGTTAAACATTCTCTAATTTAACTGTATGTGCTAAACATCTGTTCTTAATTTGGAATCGTTAGCAACTGTGTTAAAAGACAACTTGTACATTACCTCTCTGCCTTGCTGTCTTAAATTCAGCTGAGAGTAGAATTAGAAATGAAAAATTGAAAAAAGTAGTCTTAGAACCAAAAAAACACAACTGAATATCTTCTAATGACGTTATGCTCTCCATATTAAGTTCAGCTGCTCAGTTATCAGCCTAAAATAGCATCACTTCAGACATCAGGAGTTAATTTCCATCTTGCACTGACAGAAAAATTAGATAAGTTATACAGAAGTGTGTTAAAAATAAGTATTTTCTCCTTGTGGTTCAGATGTAGGTCTTTGCTAGAACTTGGAACTGCTGCTTGGAGTAGCTAATTGTTTCTTTATAAGGTCCTTTAAGAAGAAAAGTAGAGCTAAAATGTAGAACCTGAAACCTCCTTTTGTTTTGAAGCACCTTCAAGAGCTGTAAAAGAGGAATTAAGAGTGAAAAAAAATCTTACATAAGTTTATCCCTTTCTGAAATGTATGTCAGTTTCTTGAAATGCTGTTTTCTTTAAGATTCAGGAATTTTCAGGGGTTGTTTGCCTGGAATAAACTTTTGCACCATTTTGTGGAATGGTTCTTGAGGGAGTGACAGAATCCTGAGTGTTTCTCACTAATACATAAAATGCCTGAGCTATTTCAGGAAGAGTCCCACAGTTCTGTGCTAGCAAAAGAATAGCTTTTCTTGTCCAAGTAGTGTCTGGCTAGCAGCCTTGGGGCATATTTTTGTTGTTGATTTGGGAAAAAACCAAACAAACAAGTAGGAGTAGTCAGTGTTATAAACCAGTATCGTGCTTGATGTTTGAGGCACTCAGTGAGGTGTTTGGCGTCTTTGAAAAATTGTGTTTTGTACTTAGAGGAATGCAGACGTGATAAAATAGATGTGGTTTTGCTATCTAAATGGTTTCTTTGGCCCACAAAGAACTCTGAGAAACTGAATGGATATTAGGCCCAATTGCTTATTTAGTGTTTAATGGAGAAAGTTTGCCATGAAATCTTAATTTCTATGAGCTGGTGTTGGGTAGGCTGCAATATCAGCTCCAGAGAGCACAATAACAGATGTGAAGGAGAGTTAGTACCAGATTCATTGGAGGTTTTTTAACTGTCTTTCCCTTATTTTTGTACCAGTTCCCCTTTATGCCCACCTCTCCCTCCCTGCTCTTTCAAGAAATAATTCTCTTCTCTTCTCTTCTCTTCTCTTCTCTTCTCTTCTCCAGATATTTCTTCTGACTGGAATGTGTATGCATACATACAGCACACAAAAATACTGTATACATGGGTTAAAACAATTGAGGGGAGCTTACTGTATAAAACTGTAAAATCCCAATGTAGTTTCAGGTCTTTGGCAAGATTAGTCCACAAGATTTAAACCAAAAGAAAGGATTATGTTATTTTTTAAAAAACTATAGTTTTGGTTTGGTAATTATTTAAGTAAGAGTTGGAGCTGGATGATTTTCAAGGTCCATTCCAATCCATAGCATTCTCTAATTCAAAGAAGTGAGTACTGTCAGTTGGAATGTATAGGTTTTAAATGGAATGACATGTTGCCAGTTCTATACCTGGGACACTTTCTCTCTCTGTGTTCTAAGGGTCTAACAGTGATAACATGCACAGGATTCAGTTTTGTAGTTTGCAATGCTGAAGTATCTTCAGTGCAGCTGAGATCTGAGGCAGACCTTTGGAACATGTTATGGTGCATCCTTTTTGTTAATTTTTAGTATTTTCTTAACATGGGATATAGCTGCATATTAGCACAGTTCTAATAATGGTGTGGTGCAGGTTTGAGCCCTGTATGGGCCATTCATTCTGGTTTGAGCTCATTTTAAAAGTGGAAGTCTGGGATATGCTCTTAAGAAGGAGTCCAGAGGGGAAGAGACTGTGGAGATGAAAGGAAGGATGGACAATGCTGATGCCAAGTTTACAAGCTGTTTACTCTGCCATTTTCCTCAGTTCTGATAGAATAAAAAATGAAATGTTTGGAAAAGGACAAAAGTGTTTTGCAGGACATGGCTCAGTAACAGGGATTCTTTTGCTGCAGAGAAAATTAGTCCAAGGTTGGAGCACTTTGATTTGACTTTCTGAATCTAGGAGTTTCACTCTTGGGATGGAGAAAGGTGACACTGCTGTTTCCTCAGATGCTCTACTAACCTGGAAATGTATTTCCTTTTTTTTTTCTTTCTCTTTTTCACCTTCTTTCAATGGTCTGAGAAAAACACTGCTCAGTACAAATGTGTACAATTGCCCTGTTACTTTTGCTAGGTCACCATGGGGGCATAGGAAATTGGGGAAACATTTTTCTCAAGGAAACTGGTGGTTTGTTGTTTTGGTTTTGTTTTTACAGGGACAAGTCACTTATGGTAAGAGCTGCTATTTCAGGATAAATCAGAGCTGCTCTAGTTCTGAACACTCAGATAAAGCCAAACTCTTTGTAAGGAGCTCTCTCCTGTATGCTGCTAAATCTTGCCCTGCTCCTCCAGTGGGAAACCTTCCCAGTCTTTAAATGTGTTGCATATTTGTAACTTGTAATTCCTGCTGTGTTGCCTAATTGAAAAGCTAGAGTATTGCCAAAGCACTCTACAGTATCTTCTGCTTATGTTGGGGGAATTTTGTGGGTGTGCATCAGTTTGAATTTTTCAGTCTGACTTTGATTAAAGTGTCTGGCCCCAGGTTTGGGGTTTTTTTGTTGGTGGTGTTTTGTTTGTTTTTTTTTTTAAATATCCCTTCATGTTCACTAAGGAATATTTGTTTTGGACAGATCAGTGCTTCAAACAGTGTTTTTAAAGGCATTGAAGCATTAAAATATTTCTGAGGCAATGATGTGTTACAGTTAGGGACAAAATGAGTGCAGCTTGGAAGGGATTTAAGTGCTGTTCAGGAACAGGAGCAGTGGCAATCAGGAGGTCACTAGTAATGTATCTGCTGCAAGTGGATTTCAGGGAAATTAGTTCTTGCAGTTATGCAAACAAAAGGGACAGCGTATGTCAGCAGAGTGGGTTTCATTCATTTATAGTGGAAAACCATAAAAAATGTGTCCAGGTGTGTCAGAACTCAGTACATCCCTCTGGGTGTCCAGAGTTGCTGGGACCCCTGTCGGGGGGCTCAGAGACCCTGGCACACAGCCCAGAACACCGCTGGATTTGATTATGACCCGTGGATCAAATTGCCAGCTTTGTATGAAGCCCTGAAAGCACAGAAGTTTAAGTAGTGTAATAATAAAATTATCAGTAGGTGAAAAAATAGATTTTGGGATTTTTAGAATAGGGGTCTTGGAGACAAGATGGAGGGACTTGGGTGTGTCCAGCCTTTCTTCTTCTTCTTCTCTACCTCCATCTTGTGCTGTGATGTTGGCACTTTGGGATTGGTTTAGAGTAGAAGCTCACTGTCTAACATAGGTAATAGGTATTGGAAAGCAATTGTAAACATGTTATACGTAGTTTGTAGTATAAAGAGATAACACCGCCCCGGGGGCAGTCAGAGTGCCACTGGCTGTCCTGCTGAGTGGACCTCGGCTGGACAGGAGAAAAATTTTTATAGATAAGATACAATA